TCGACAATCAGTTTCTTTCAACTCGTTGGTTTTAAAGTTTGAGTGGAGATGAAAGAAACATGTCCTTTATAGGTCAGGACTCCCAGTTTATAATAAAGTTCCCTACAGCCCTCCTCATTAAAGCTCTGATGAAAACCTGTAAATATTAGACAATATACTAATTGGGTGAACTAGCTTTTACATATTTGTGTTGCTTTTATGTAAAATTTAAGGAATGTAAAGCACGCTGAAAATTACAAAGGTGCCATATGATTAAGGTATTAAATGTTGGACAGATAGTTTGAGGAGTAAAAGAAGCTGTTTATGTCAGAAACTCCAAACCCTAAGCAGAAAGATGCCTCAGATTTCAGCTTTCATAAACATCCAGACCTCCATGAAAACCCATCCACACCATCCTGCATGAGCCAGGCTAATATCTGAAAACAAAACAACTTTCACAGCAGTTAAAGCTGTGATTTTTCTACCAGATTTACACATCTGGAAACTGGAATGTTGCTCCATTTTCATGTGAAAAAGGACAGAGACCATCTCAAAACAGAAAAGTCTTGAGTGGATCTGCAATCAGAGGCCTTTCTTTTCTTTAACTCTCCTCCATGATGTTGTTGAAAAAAAAGGCTCATCAGAACGGAGAGGAAGGATGACCTGCCCGCAATCTCGACTCCAACCAACCGAAGTATGGAGGATCAGACATGAAGTCCTCCTTCGTGTCCGATTCATTTCCTTTACAAAAGTGGCACCTCTTAAAGGAACCCTGTAGTCTTTGGGATTTATTACCAACAAGCATTGTTACAACAAGAAGTAATCACCTTTGCTTTTGTTTTAAAGATGAGCTAACGGTTTATTTTGGATGTTAAATGTTCACACCACAGTCTGGATTTCTGTTAATGTCTCCAGGAGACATTTATTCATTATTTTCCTGAGATCAAAAATTCCCATATAAATGACACAGTTCCAACATAATCTAAACATTTGGTTTTTAAAGGAATAGTCAGCAGAGAATAATCAATGGGTCATAAAACTAATACGTTCACAGTGATTTCATTAATTTAGTGTTAATCAGTAAAATAATGAGAACAATAATAATTTTTGCCCAAATATAGTA